CCCCCCCCCCTGTAAAGGCATGCCAGGGTTAGTTATGCTAACCCGAAATTACGGTCATGCAAATGCGCATACTTTGCTGCACTCGTGAAGAAATTCTGGAATAACCAGGAAGCATCCCTCAAGCCTTTCACATGTTCCAATACCGTTTCCGTTTTTAGCTGAACCTCCGCCAAAAAAAGCCAAAAACCCTACTTTGCCATATTTTTTCTGTGGCAAATAAATTTACTAATCGAGGAGGTCGGGCAGCGACAATTGGAGCCGCTATCACACGCGTCGATCGCCAATCACCCACTGGACCAAATCTACCACGAGACCACCATACACTCATTCTACCTGCAGAAAGACCCACTTCATAGTATTCGCCCCCTATGGAAGGCCGAGCAGGCACATCAGCAGGTCCTGCAAGCCATTGCTTAAGGCCAAACAAGCACCGAAATCCACGGCGATACTGAATAGAAGTCGGAGGCGTTGCGATCTTCAAAATTCATTGACGCCGGACTGTTCATGCTTCGATCGCTGAATTTTACTAATTCCAGACGTATCTCAGAAGAGCGTACTCGTACACCGTCAAAAATCGACGAAGCATTTCCCTCACCGCCACATTCATTCACAGATAAGTCACGTGAGTATTTTTTATGCCGAAAAAGCTTGTGATAAATAGGTGACAGCGCTCGGTCATAGGGCGATTAGCCAATGTTAACCGCGACGGGTGGAGCAGTGGTCAACAATCTAGCGTTGAGATCAACCACATGGTAATCCATACCATAGAAATTTCTCCGCAGAAGTCTAGTTAGGGAACCACAACTCCCGCTGATTGGATGTTACTCGCCACTTCTCCCATCCTGCACAAATTATTAGGCGTTTCAGAAAGTTCTGTCGTTTTCTGACACTCCACTTTTGGATGCTTTATTTCCTTGAAATCTAGGAAAGCTGCAATCGATGTTGATATCATTTTGAAGAGCTTTTCCAGCTCTATCCAATGCTTAGCTCAACTTTGTCCTAAAACATTTTCTTATAGCTTTTTCAAAGCTTTGAATGCGGTATACTCGATGAGCAAGTTGGCATGACTTTCTTTTTCTAGCTTTAAATAGACCTGAAAGTGGCGGGAACAGTTCAAGATATTAACGATGCACTTGGCCTAGATTCGCAATAAATGTGCTCAGAAGCAGTAGTTCAAAAAGTTATTGTAACGAAAGCGAGAGCCTTGGGTATGATGAGAGTGGTGGTCGGATATCGGACGTTGCCACCGATTAGCCAAAAGTTCTGATTGAGGCACTCGTGCGTAAGACCATAGAGGAGGTTCTGCCCAACCTGGGCGTATATGGTTTGTAGAGCCAAGCTTATACGGAAGTAGCTGGAA